TATTAAGTACTTCAACCATCGAGTATATTACCAGAAATAGAGGTGAAATGTCATTCGATTTGTTTAAAAACTATACTGCCATATCATTACTGTGACAACTGCGCTCCGATTGGCAAGCCCGAGTTCGAAACAATTGACGGGTGTCGTCAATGGGTGTCGTCAACTGTTTCACTTCAAATCGACCAGTTAACTTGAGCTTTGCTATAATGGACGAAAATTGCAAAATTACATATTTATTATTTAATGTTTTGCTGTTTTTCCCACACCACCGAATAGAACAGCACAGCATTGTTAGTGATATTATCTTTATTACAATAAATACAGAATATTTTTTGGAATATACGGACACGAATACACAGGTCAGGAGTTGGCCTGTCTATATTTCAGTGCAAACGAGAGTTGATATTTATAAGAGCTGTATCGCTAATGTGTTACCAGGAATATATGGCCCTTATTTCGTCTCTATTTCTGGTTATATATTTGATGAAGTCATACCGAATCGTGTTATCGTAGTATAATGTTAAAGTTAACATTATACTACGATAACACGATTCGGAACATCAAAAAAGAAAGAGATTCCATTATACAGTTCATCAGCGTTATTTCTTTCCTACTTTTAGTAAGGCAAAGACAATATTGGGAAATCATTCGCTCTTTCAGTCACTTTAGCAATAATACATTCCTTGGTGGTAGGATGATGTGTTGTTTGTGGTGAAAATGAGTAATATTATAATAAGCTTACTTTATGCCTACATTGAAATGAGATTGTTTTTGGAAAGGTTATGGTAGGCGCCCTGATGTCGAAGAAGGTTCACAACCAACGTGTGAAGTCCTCAGCCCGCATTAGGCCAGCGTGGCGGACTAATGGACGATAAGTGGGTTGAAGATGATGATATTTATCGATATTTAGTATTAAGAAAATACGCGCTACGTGACCGGTTGAATTTTTTCACTCGTCTCCGATTCTCTGATAGCCAACGTAAAACAACACTATACGTATTTGAGATACTTACATTTCTCACTGGTATATGAGCAACGAGGTCCATATGATCATAAAACTGTTTCAGGTACGAAAACTCCTCATTTTCACCAGATATCTTCAAAAACAGTTCCATCATTTCAGTTAACGGCATTCCAGCTCCGAGAATTAAGTTGACATCCATCGAGTATTCTTTTAACACTGCGACGTTGAATATGTCTATCACAGTAGATGGGTAATTTGAAACGTGAAATACTCCTGGAAAATGATGATTGCCATATAGGTGTTGGCAAAATATAGAAGTAATTTGTGAGAGATTTATATCACGGAACATTGTAGGTATATTACGTATTAATAACGCACACTCTCACTAGGGAAACTCTGTGTCGCGGGTGCCATGGATAGCACATAGAGAACCAATAAATTACATCCAAACTCACGAGATAAATAAATGTAGGCCATACAAATATTTCTCCCGGTCCAGGAATCGAACGTGGAACGTGGGACTGCGTGGCAAACCAGCGTGGTATTTATTCGGCCACGGAGGCAGTCGTTATTAGTGTTAAAGATGGGCAGATATGTTGATTAGTATATATATACAGTAAATTATTTATCTGAAAACAAAACTAGGTATATTGCAAAGCACACTTATTTTTCTGGAAAGAAAGGAATATCATCTTTTACTAACAGGTAGAATATTTCCGGGTGAGAAAATCTAGTACTTTGGTACTTTTAAATAGCAGTTATAACTTATTTTTTACAAAGTTTGGTCTACAAGTACAGAAAAAATTGCGGAGCAACTGTGAAGCAGTCAAAACATTTAAGAGAAATTAAACTATTATAGTTTAAATATAATTATTAATACAAAGATCGAATACTTAGAAAAAATTCCTTCGATCCGGCCGGATTCGAACTGACGTCTTCCAGCAAACCGTGTCAGACGCTATGCCAACTAAGCCACGGAACGAACCAGCGGACCTCACGAATTTTTGTATGTGCTTGTTGTTGAATCTTTGTATTTGGTTTTCAACGGCTTTTCAGCCGTAGCGCCTATGAGAAATCTATGAAAGTATTTCGTCACCCAGTTAGATACCGTTACAGCTACCAGCTCTGGCTAGAGATGTCTCTATTACCTTTTAATTAAATTTGTATTGAATTGATATTCAATTGTTTTTGCGAAACTGCTCCACTAGTTTGTTTTAATTACGTATTATCAATTCAATACAAATTTATTTTAAATATTTTTTAAATAAAATATTTTAACCTTGTCCAGTGTTACCAGCGATCAGTCTATATTCGCCATGTTCCATTGCTTGGAAAATATCATTTAAATCGAATACCTTGTAAAATTTCGTTGATCCACAGTCAACAACAATTTTGTTTGTTTCATCTACTACAAACCAATCGTCTGTTTCCTTATTTTCGTCAGGTTTTGAGTCTTTTTTGTCACATTTATGTTGACATTTTGTTTTACAATTTACTCCGCACGGTTTAACAAAATCCAGGTCTTCAAGGTCAATAAGTTTATTTTTGAGTCTATCGTCGATATCTGTAGCGAAACTCTTAAATGCATCAGCGATTGATCTGTATCCTGTACATCTGCAGATATTACTGGCAAAGGAGTTTTCTATCTCTTTCATTGATAAGTTTTTCTTTTTTGATTCGTAGAGACTGAAAGAAAATAAAATAAACAAGTAAAAAAGCGCCCGGATTTAAATATTTGCTTTATTGGAAGATATCTTAGAGGAGAAACAAAAGTAAAACCTACCTAAACCTAGTATAGTAAAACATGATAATATATATCAGATTGTTGCTCCATATTCTGCTATAAAACAAATTCCTACCTGTACATATTCATAATCCATCCAGGAGTGCAGTACCCGCATTGGGTGCCGTTAAACTTAGCCAACCGAGCTTGGATGTCATGATAACCCATGGTCTTGTTGCCGACGCCCTCCACTGTTGTCACCTCCCAACCATGGCAGGACAATACAGATACGAGGCACTGTAATTATATATTATCGTTATTGTATTTCCTTACAGAGGTCCTGCACAACTACATTTAAGGTGCTTTTCCACCGGCGAGGTCAGATGAGGCGAGACGAGGATTGAAATTTGTATGGCAAAATTTCAATTTTCTCTTAGAATATCTTCGGTGGAAATGGTCTGGATTTACGAGGATGGGCGAGGCGAGAATTGAAATATGTGTTGATGTAATATTATTTTTGTGTCTTACACTGATGCATTTTTGCAATAAATGATCACATGTGGTTTTGTTATATCAAGGGTAGGAAATAGCGGTAATACTAACAGAATTAACTGAGAACAATTTGACTTCGTTGTTCGGTGGTAATGGCGCCCTTACTGCGACTACACACGCACCACAACCGCCTTCATGACACATCGCCTTCGTCCCTCTGTAGTCCGCCACATTTCTGATGAATTCATTTAAAGATACGTCTGGGCCGTACTTGCCGTCCACTGAAAAATATGATGCATTATATAATATCAAAAATAAGATATACTTAAGCTATAGTTTAGGAATTTTGTCTAATGCAACCCTTGTCGTGTCTTCAAACAGTTTTTGAACATTATTATACTAAAAAGATTAGGTACTAAAAACTAAGTAAGTATAAAATAAATATACAAAAAATGTGTATAGATACCGAGCCCAATGAAATTCAATTTAGATTCGTTTCAAAAGCAAAAAGAGGTGATCTTGAAAGATAACAAACACAATAACGTTATTTATTTATTATAGCGTTCTAATAAATACAAGTCTCGAATTTGTTAACCTAACGAACGAATCTCTAATTTGTTGAAAAGCGAAATCCGACAAAATTTGGAACTTCAATTTGATGAAAGGCTTTTGATATTTGTTCGCATACAAAGCAAATTCGTTTTTTTAAATTTTACTATAATTTTGTGCATTGGCTAATTACTCTATCGAATGAATAGAATAGAATAGAATAGAAGAATAGAATAGAATCGTTTATTTCATGTTATCAATGTCACAATATTACAATTGGAAATACAATGTCAAGGGATAACTATGATCGTCAGTAATAAAATTATAATAATAATAATGAATATAAAATAAAGTAGTATAACTACTGCTTGTCGAATAAAATAAAATTAAAATTGTTTCAAAAGAAACTCATCGACACTGTACAATTCAATATCCAATAAAAGGTTTTTTAGTCGGGTACAAAACGTTGCATCGTTTCTAACACTTTTCAGGTCTGTGGGTAGATGTTCGTAGAATCGGGGACATATTACCCGCGGATTTCTAGTTGCAAGTTCGGTACGGTGGGCAACGGATTTTAGTGTTCCCGCGTTTCGTAACGCTCGGCCTCCGCCCGTACGTCGCTCATAAGTAGCCAAGTTTTGACGCGCATAAACTATTATATCATAAATATATTGTGAGTACATGGTCATTATATTGTATTTCTTAAAAAGGTTTCTGCAGGTCTGACCCTTTTTTATGCCTACTATTGTTCTTAGTGCACGTTTTTGAAGAATAAATACCCTAATCGACTCAGTTGAATTACCCCACAGTGTGATGCCATAAGACATCAACGAATGAAAATACGCATAATACGTCTGCCTCAATACCACATTGGAGACAAGAGGACGCAGTTTCCTCAGTGCGTATGCAGCACTTCCAAGTTTTTGACATAGAGTTTGTATATGTGACTTCCAGTTCAAATTTGAGTCTAGCGTTAAACCCAAGAATTTACAGGTGTTACATAATGGAACAATGGAGGTGATAATTGGCTTTGTTATAGAATTTCTTCCTGAGAACAACATAAGGTTTGACTTCGATTCGTTAAAAATAAGTCCATTCGCAGAGAACCACTCACACAGCTGCTCATACGTGCAGGCTAATTTTTCTTCCAACTCGTTGTAGGTTTTAGCACACACTATAACGGTTGTATCGTCGGCAAATAGAACCACAAGACCCCCTGATATAAAGTATGGCAGATCATTGATGAATGCCAGGAATAGTGTATTACCTAGGGCAGATCCCTGTGGGATGCCAATGGTGACGTCACCAGCCGCTGACCTAGTTGTTGTACCGTTTGTACTGACCTGAACCGTTTGCCGTCTGTTTGATAAAAAAGACTTTAATAGGTTATGGGCGACTCCGTTGACGCCATACACAGCTAGCTTTTGAATTAATAAATCATTTTCAATTACATCGAACGCCTTTGTTAGGTCACAAAAAATGCCTGCAGTTTTATACTTATCATCTATACTGGTAATAATAGAATCTACTATATTTTGTGCTGCAACTACGGTGGATTTACCTTTCCTATAAGCATATTGTCTATCTGATAACAAATCGTTCAATTCGAAATGATCCATAATACTTGTTGATATAATAGATTCTATTATTTTTGATATATTCGGAACTATGGTTATCGGTCTGTGGCTTTCAACATGGGTCACGTCCCCCTTCCCCTTAAACACTGGACATACACGAGTACTTTTTAAAATATCAGGATATATACCTTCTCTAAACATTTCATTTATTAAAATAACGAGTATGTCTCCAATCACTGGCCACACCGACATTAATATATTTATAGATATATCGTATATGTCCAGCGTTTTTGACGTATGCCACATACCCCTCACTACCCCCTCCAACGAGTCACGAGTGACAGTTGGAAGGCTGTACTGAGGAACATCGCATTCACCCACGCATTTTCTTAAAAATGACATTGATTTTTCTTTATTATTGTGTAGATGTAATTTTGAAGTTATTGTAAGAAAATAATCATTGAAGTAGTCAGGTATCATGTCTACAGGCACAATGTCTCCCTTGTGAGTCAGTCGAACGTTTTGTTGGTGATTCCTAGTTGAAACCTCATCGTTCACAATCTGCCACATTACCTTACTCGAGTTTTTAGTAGACATCATCTTATTATCATTAAATAGACGACGATCACGCAAACTCATAGATTTTATTAAATTTGAATGATGTTGAAGACATTTATTTAAAACATTATCATGTGGAAATTGGTGTTTCATTGAGCAGAAATTATTATACATTGCAATGTGGTGGTTAAGTTCTTCACTCACCCATGGAATAGTATTCCTCTTTAAAGATATTTTTTTAACTGGAAAATGAATATTAATATAATAAGTTAATATTCTTATCAATGAACTAATTTTTCATTAATATTAATATCAGTCACATGAATGAAACTCCAATCATAATTATAAATGTCCATATAAAATAAATTAATAGACTCCTCTGCAAAGATACGTCGATGTATAAATTTGTTTACATTTTTGTTTTGCGTAACAGGTAATACGAATAGCTGTGCGTTGTGGTCGCTTATCGGCGTATCTAAAGGAGAAACGGTTATGTAATTACAGTCATCGCTCGAAACTATCCCACAGTCCAAAGAAGTGCTACAAGTGTCACATTCGCGTGTAGGAAAATCGACAATATTTTTTGTGTTATAACACCTTAATAGGTCGTCTAGGCATCGCCTGTCCGAGTTGTCGGTTAAATAATCTACGTTTATGTCGCCGACCAAAATTAACCTTTTATTTTCGTCAAATATTGTTGACAATAATTTTTCTATTGAATATAGAAATTGTTTAAAATCTCCGTTTCCAGTTCTATAAATACCCACAATAACAATATTTTCCAAATACAGTTCAATTACACAAATTTCACAATGATATTCAACACCAATACTCTGTAGGTCCGTTCTTTGTTTAAATAAGATTCCTGGCTTTGTAAACATAGCTACACCGCCGTGGTTGATGCGCGGGCGACAGTAGTAATTTGCGAGCTCGTACCCTGATAACTTCACGCGTAGTATTTCATTGTTTTTGCACCAGGTTTCAGAACATACAAGAATGTCAGGTTCGTGTGTGTTTAAAATTATGTTCAATAGTCCCGTTTTACCAGTAATAGAACGTACATTTTGGTGTAAGATCGTTATGTTCGATTTGTGTCTCGGTTTTGAGGTTATCCCTGATCGTGCCGCGCGTGTGTTTTTCTTAAGTTTTTTGGAGTGATCGTATTGAACTTTCTAATTGATACTCCGGCGGGCCATAATCCAGGATCTCGTATAGATTGGACTTTGTTGGCTGGCACCTCTAATTTAAAGGACGCGTACTCTCCGCGTGTCGGCAGCCGCTCACAGCATACTCCACTAATTCGCAGCCGAGATTGAATCGGCTGAATGAATTCTCGGTGTAAAAATCGTTATTAATTCATAATATAGTTTAGTGCATAATCACATGTCAACAATATTTTTAAATTCATAGTACAAATGGTACCCTGTAAGGACGCCATACCAATTTCATCACATAATAATATTACATTAACTGTATAGAAAATATTTTTGCACATTATTTGTATTCATTAAAAATAATTGTATAGTTATTATTGGGTACTAAATTATTTAAAATCAAATTAATCATCATTAAAGTATTCAGATAATTATAATTATAATAATAATAAAAGCTGAGAAAAATAAAGTAAATAATAATAGTAATTCAGTGACAAAAGTACATCATTACAATGCTAAGCTAAACAAACATAAGTGCAATAATAGGCTGCTGAATGTACTAAATTCAATTAAATGCAGCCACTACAGTCGAACTAGGAAATCCCGTATCTCAACACAAGACATAAGTTATAATAGCTTTTATTAATTAAAAAAAATCGATTTAAGTTGCCTTTCGAAAGCCTTAGATTCGTTGGTACACTGTAAGCTATTTGGGACATGGTTATATATTTTTATTAGATGTATGGATGAATATAATTTTAATTTCGAGGAAGGTAATTTCAATTTGTTCTGAAAACTAATATAGTAAATTATTGGGTTTTCTGCTTTTAATGGCTAATACAGGTAAGAGTGTTTTTAATAAACTTATGAACTTCAAAATTCTTGTATACAATACACAAGTTAACGCAAGTCGAAATTACATATAGCAATGTACAGATAGCAAACACGTTTAAAGTTCTAGCGTGCTTACAGACGAGAAGCACTGTATAGTCAAATTGGTCAACTTCAGTGTTGAACGGACAACCGCCAACAGTAAAGTTGTCGACAACAAAATCGATACCTCCAGTAAACACTACGTCAACTTAATTTTTGGGCTTGTCTCTTTCTAATTTGTTTTTTGTTTCTTTTTTTCAGAACATTCGTTTTTTAAAATTTTTATTGAGTTGATATTCAATTATTTTATGTCAAACCGCTCCGCTAGTTTGTTATGATTATTAATACAAAGATCGAACACGTACAAAAAATTCCTTACATCCGGGCCGGATTCGAACCTACGTCTTCTAGCATACCGTGCCAGACGCTATACCAATTAAGCCACAGAACGAAACAGCGGACCTTGCGAATTTTTCTATGTGCTTGTTGTCGTGTCCTTGTAATTGTGTTTTTCAACGACTTTTTTAAAGTGCTCAATCTTTGTTTGATACTGTAGTATCAACCTATATGTAGGAACCTTCTAAATTTTGGTTTTCTACTGAAGTCACTATAGTTATTAAATGCACATTTATCCCAAAATTTGAAATTTGCCCAGCGGTTTAATGACTAATTGTCAACGTGTATTCCTATTTTATTCATATTAATTTTTAAGCGCGCGCATAGCGGGAGGCCAGGCCCCCATTGATAAGCTTTTAGTTTTTTAGAAAAAAATAATATGAGGCAGTTAATTTTGATTGTCTATGGTTGGAATTAAGTACATATATTGAAATAAATCGGAATCCGCATGGCATAACCAGAATATGAATAAAACAAAAATCGTTCAAAAAAAGAAGCCCACAGTTACCATTAACAATAACGTATAGCTCTCTACGTAATCCATTAAGTAAGATTCTAATGTAATTACAGTTACGTACGCTAATATGATATACAAAGAGTAGATCGCCGGAATAAGACCTCTGGGACAACAAATTGTTCTTCCTAAGGATTTATGGAATTTTGAGCAGTATTACTTACTATAATAGGCCCTTCAGGTAGTACGTGTAAAAAAAATCAAAGAACAGAGTCTATCGCCATTTCCTTAATGATTGTAAATTGCGTTCAGGGTTGACTATTTATGAATTCCTACTCGCTTGTAATGGAGCTTAAATTTTTTTTAATACTTTAATATAATTCAACTGCTACCTTTTAATCAAACTTCACATCGAAAAAACACATTTGCTCGTAATGTGTGGCAAAATTGGCGATTTTTGTCATATGGGCCTAAGGCGGTAATGGTTTTTTTTTTTAATTTCTACGCTCCCGCCAGTCGAATAATAATTACTTAACTTGCTCACTTCCACCATATTCGCGCCGCGACCACAGATGACAGTGTACGTTTTGGGCTTTATTTCATTTAAAATTTTAATAAGATACATTAACAGATACAATAAATAAACTAAAATTATTTTTGAAGCCAGTCCAAGCAAAAATTCTTAATACAATTTTTTTCCTGAAACAGGTCCTTCAAAATACGTAAATATGTATAAACTATAACGTTGTTATGTTTAATTTACCTTTTTATAAGCAAGCGTTCAAAAAGCATGGTATGCCACACGGACTGAACAGCAATTACAAACATTTGGGTCATCAGTTTTGAATCAGTACTTCGTTTACATATCTAATAGCACTTGTGACACAATGTACATTTAAAAAAATATTTAGGCTGGAACAAGTGCCAGATTGACGAATTAGGTTCTTTTTAAATTAAATTCCTGATAATAATAATAATTCAATAATCACAAATATATATATATATACTTGCTAGTAGTCCTTAAATAATTCAATGTATTGGGCAAAACTACAATTTATTAAGCTCTTTTTACGAAATAAAATTTACAGTTATATCCTTCAAATTAGCAATTTCTCTTTACATGCATACATCCGTTGTTTATAAAATTAGTCGAAAAATAGATAATTTAATTTCAAACAGAATGTATTGTTCACTTTTTTTTTAACTTATATAGTTCATAAGTTAAGTGTTATTAAAAAATAATTCCTTCCCACGCGCGAGGTCTGCGCATTACTACGCTCAGTCGCCTTTCAGGCTTTGCGACGGCTGGATTTTGCGTATGATTTTGAGCTTGAGGTGGTGGTAACCCGCTCAAAATTTAAAACTTTGTTTTTAATTAATTTCACTTGTGTTTGTGTGAAATTTAATTTGTATATATATATATATATATATATTTGATTTTGTTTTTATATTTTAGACTCTACAAATTAATTATTTCGTTATATTTACATTGCATCTTTTACAACTACCAAAGAATAGACAATATAGATATGCCGAAATAAAAAATAAATCTAAGGTGAAGTGTGGAATTTGTACAATAAATATATGCAAATAATATGGCTCTGGCTGAGAAGGTTTAGGTGTTTTGGAAGAGAAGGCCTAGGTGTTCTGGGTAGTGCCATGGAGTGAATTCTATTGCCCTTTGCCTCGGGTTTAATTCCCGGTAGATCAAATTTTTTTAAAGAACTTCCTGAACTTGGGTTTGGTCTGGGTTTCTGGTAATGCCTATGTTTGGAGTCAGATTCTCTGACACTCATAAGGAGTACAGGGAGTTCCCTAGTTTGAGCTCAGGTGGTTGGCAACAGAGCAGACAAAAGTATATTTCCCAAATTGATTCTACGGGAAATGAACCCGAGACCTAAAGCTACGGAATACACTACGTGGTATTGCCTAGAACACTTAGTAGTAAAAAACCATTTTAGGAAAATTTCGTTTCCGAAACTGGTTCTACAAGGAATCGATCGACGGGGACCAAGATGTAAGGAATTCACTCCGCGGCACTACCCAGAACACCTAGGCCAAAACCATTTTGGAAAAGATCATTTCCCAAATTGGTTCTACCGGGAATCGAACCTGGGACCAAGAGTTACGGAATACACTCCACGTCACTACCCAGAACACCTAGGCCAAAACCATTTTAGAAAATTTCTTTTCCGAAACTGGTTCTACCGGAAATCAAACTCCGGACCAAGAGCTACGGAATTCACTCAACGACTCTTTCCAGAACACCTAGGCCAAAACCATTTTAGAAAAGTTCATTTCCCTAATTGGTAATGTTGTCAAGTAGCTTGG